AGCTTTCTCAGCAAATTCCAGCTTATTGCCTTTTCCAGGGAAGCTGTGTGCCCACCTCCTCTTTGTCCTGCATGCTTGTCCTTATTTCTTTGTAAATAAATGAATTACCATGTACATGATTACATGGAAACATACGTAATGTGTGCTTATTATCTGTCCACCCTGTCAACCAGAAAGTTCCGGGAAACGCAGCAACGGCATGGTCTGCTTCATTCTTTCTCTTGCCCAAGTACTATGCAACCAAATTTTCCCTCAGAAGGAAAGCTACTTTAGAGGTTTTTTTTCTTTTTTTTCCTTTTTTTTTTTTAAATTACCAGTTCTTTTTTTTTTTAAAGATTTATTTATTTATACAGCACTGGGTACAGTCAGAAGCGCGGGAGGGTGAGAGAATTCACCAGAGCCAGAGCGGGGAACAGAACAGGCAGACTGATGAAGTACACTGCTGAGGGGAGCAGCGGGTGCAGCAGGAGAGGTCTGCGCGCCATGTGGGACCCTCACCCGGTGGACGGGGATGGAACCGGCGCTGCAGAGGCTGCGGGCAGCTTTGCAGCCCAGCACTCAACTGCTGCACCACTGGGGAAGCCCTAGAGATGTTTTTCATAGAAAAAAAAATGTCACATACATTCATAGAAATGTCACATACATTTCTCGAAATGCAGCATTATAAATGTATATCTGAATGAATTTTCACAAACAACTCAACCATGTCACCAGCAGCCAGATGGACCAAAGCATGATCAGCACCCCAGACCCCTCATGTCCCCTTCCAGTCACCTCTTCACCAAGGGTAACCCTTAGCTTGTTGGCTAAGATGAGAGATAAACTTGACCATTTTTATGTTTTATATAAATGGAGTCCTTTTGTGTTTGGCTTTTCTTGCTCAGCATTTGCTTTATGAGAGTCGTCGTGTGGTCACGTGCGTTTGCAGTGCGTTCACCCTCCTGCAGTGTAGGGCTCCATTCTGGGAGCAGTCCACAGCATATCGATCCATGTGACTGGTGGCAGTTGCCTTACATTTGAGTACCAGCAAAATTTCTTGCTTTGGAGGACACTCTTCAATGACTTTATTTTGAACAACAAAGTGGTGTTTGGGGAAGACCCATTAACCCGCAATGGCCTCAATCAATGCTGGTTTGCAATGCTTAGAGAGGTCACCTAACAGAATTGGTTTTAAAAAAAGAAGAAGAAAAGGAGGAAGAAGAAGCGAAAGGGGGCTGTTGTAGTCCATTTGGGCTGCTATAACAGAATACCACAGACTGGGTCACTTTTAAACAACAGACATTTATTTCTTGCTGTGCTGGTGGCTGAGAAGTTCAAGACCAAGGTGCAGGCAGTTTGGTGTCTTGATGAGAGCCCACTTCCTGGTTCATAGACAGACATCTTGTACCCTCACGTGGTGGAAGGGATAAGGGAGTTCTCTGGGGTCCCTTTTGTAAGGCATTAACCCCATTCATTCATCATCTTGGAGTTTAAGTTTCAATATATGAGTGTTTGTGAAACTATCAGTCCATTGCAGAGGCAAAGAAAGTTAACTGAGTCTGTGCTTTCAAAAGCAATACAGTCAGCGGTTTGGTTGTGGAGGTCACATAGAAGGAAGGAATGTAAGAAAGACAGCCTAGTGGGTGGGCAATGAAATACGTGTAGTAGCTTTGGATAAAATGTCCATATAGAACGTGGAGGGTCTCAAACTATACTCAGTGAGCAGAGCAGGTGACGCGCTCTGGAAAGCAGTGTCTGATGGCAGATACAGACTAGTGCTGGTAAAATCACTATTGTCAAAGATTTATGGGAAGTTTGAATAAAATAGCTTTAGAGCATTAAAGCACCAGGCCATATAGGACATTTCATTCATTGGACGGATGGATGGATGGATGGATGGATGGATGGATGGATGGATGGATGGTTGGTTGGATGGATATAGGCTTAAGGAAGGATAGACTTGGAAGAAGGATTTCAGCTGTAAGAGCCCAATGGCAGAAATCAATGAGGATGTCACTGCAGTGATCACGCAAGAGAGAATGGGCTGAGTCTGTGGGGAGTAGCCGAAGGAGGACGTTTATAATTAGAGGGACATTTTGGAGCAGAAGTTCCCCATCATGGACCCCTGTGCCAGCATGATAGAGATTATGAAGGAACCCCTTCTCACAAGACTGTTTTACAATGCATAAAATAAAACAATAGAATTACAAAGGAAACCAATTATATTGAACTATGTTATCAAAATAATAAACCCCATAAATTTATGATGTAGTTATTGTAGCCACATATTCTTGGACACATTTCCCATTGAGAGGTGGGGTCCATGTCCCTCTCTTCATATCTAAACTGACCATGCATCTAAGCTCTACCAAACAAGCAAGCATAACAGAAGCGACATTCTAGAACTCCTAAGGCTAGACCCGAAGAAACCTGGCAGCTTCCTTCTTATTCTCTGGAGCTTCCTTTTTGGAGCTGTGTAAGAAGTTCTCCCACCCAGAGGCTGCCATACTAAACAGCTTACTTGAACAGATATGGAGAGGCTAGGGGATTGACCTGGGGAGCTCAGGAGAGACAGAGAGACCAAGGAGATGACCAAGGATGTCCCAGTATTTAGATCATCCCACCTGAGGCCTCTGACATTGCCTGGAACAGACACAAGACAGCCCATTTCGTCCTGCCCAAATTGTAGGCTCAAGAGCAAAATAAATTATTGTTGCTGTTTCCAGTCACTACATTTTAAGACCATTTATTACATAGCACAGATAAACAGAATACTAATGGATATATCTCTTTAATTAGGAGTTAAATCTAGCAGCAGGCCTAACAAATACCATAATTTAAAATTAACGATGAAATAATCAATATATTGAGATATTGGTATCAACTGTAATATAATATAAAAATATCTATGATTTTGATTGGTAACCAAATCATTGTTAATACAATTATAATTGTTGCCTACATGCATGACCCAGGGAAATGCTAACTTTCAGTTAAAGGCTTATGAAAAGAAAAATAAAAAGACTTCTCATCCAAGTTCACAAGTCCCCCAAATTCTATGTATGGTCCTAAGTTAAGAAGCCTTATTTTATTTTATTTTACTTTACTTTTAAAGATTTATTTATTTATGCATACATGAACTGGGGTACAGGCCAGAGGTGGGGGGGGGGTGAGAAGATTCACCAGAGACAGAGTGGGGAACAGAACAGGCAGACTGACTGAAATACACTGCTGAGGGGAGCAGTGGGCGAGTCATGAGAGGTCTGCCACGCTGTGTGGGTAGCTCCCTGGCTGGGAATCATTACATTGGCTGTGGACAGCTTAATAGGTTGTGTCTTAACCCTTGTGCCACGAGGGAGGCCCAAGAAGCCTTATTTTACAGATAAATCGGGGCATCCCCTTGATGACTGATTCTGTCCTTAAGAATTTAGTGAAGCTGCTTTTATAGACAGCTGAACTGGTTGTATTTTAAAATGTGTTTTACCAGAAGCTTTAAAAATACCCCTCCTTTTATTTCTCTCCTGGCTGTCTAATGTTCTTTGTCACTTTTCGTCTGCAGCTCCTCTTGTCCCTCAATGTTCTCTTCTCTCTCCATCCCCAGAATCCAGCGGGTCAGGACTCCACGCCCCTGCCTAGACCACACAGAAGGTTCTCTCCACCTTCAGTCTGCCTGTGGTCACCACCCACTGCCTTGCTGCCTGAGGGAGCTTCCTGGAGCACAGATGAATGCTGTCCTCTCTGGCTCCCACTGCCAAGTCCACACTGGTGAGCAAAGCTTCTATGAGAAAGACAGTGCCAGAAGCTGGTCCTTCTCTTCTGGCCACTGTTATTTTGTAACATTTCTCTAGCCCTCTGGCTGGTTCCAGCCTCTCTGGCTTTGCTTTTCGATTTTCACTCTTAGAACACCTTCAGGAATTCGTCCTCAAGGCCAAGACAGGCTTATTTGTGAAGACAGTGCCTCATCACATCCTCCATGATGCTTCCTTGAGCTCCCCACCTGAAGGTAAAATCACCACTCCTTCTTCATTGACCCACCCACTCTCTTAAAGGGAGGGTTTTTTTTTTTCCCGCGGAAAGATATACAACAATGCACATGTATCTAAATGTATACTTCAACAGTTTCCAGAAGCCCAATAAACTTGTTTCTCTTATGTGTGAGTAGCAGCCAGAATAAGGAACAGAACTTTCCTGGTTTCCCTGAGGTCCCCTTTGTCACTACATTCCTCCCTGCAGAGGATAACCCTGACCGCTGACTATAAAGGCTAATTTAACCTGACTTTACATTTTAGATACGTGGAACCACACAGTATGTGCCTTTTGATGTCTGGCGTCTTCTGTCCAGTATCATGTTTATGAGATCCCTCTGTATTAACCTTGCTTATTTTGCTTTGATAGGCATGTGGGTAGTTTCCACATGGAGGTCATTATCAATAGTGTTGCAGTGAACATGGCCTTTGGGTGAACATGGGTACACAAGTCCAGTAACATTTATTCCTAGTAACCTACAAAAACTTACTGAAACAATTGCATGTCACTCTCATGTGTGTTCCTAATTTGCTCTCCTAAACTCTGAGCAGCTTTAACGACAGGCTGTGTCTTACATGTTTTTGCATCATCATAACTTAGCTTTCAGTACTTGCTCAATAAATACTGTTCAAATGAATGAATACTGAAAAATTGCCAGGAAAAAAGCATTTCTCTGATAGCCTTCACATTGCCTTATACTCTTATCCTGAGATTCTCTTAGATTCTGGTTATTTACTATTTGTATTTTTCTATTGGTATATCACATTTGTATTATAAAGTTACTCAAATCCTTTGTGGAAGAACATGAGAAGCACATACACACCTATATACACACACCCGAGTGTCTGTGTGTTTTCCATTATCCCATCTAAACTCACTGAAAGGAATGGGATTAAGTAATTTGGATATGTGATGTTCTACCTATTCATTTATTTGTTTATTTATTTTGACTAGGCTGCGTGGCTTTATTAGGGAAAGTCAGGATTACAAAGGATTTAAGAGTTGGCACTGGGGTCCTTCTTCCTGCCAAAGGTGGGCACAGCATTCACAAAGGGCTGGTTGTACTGCACTGGCCACTTGGCCCGGCCTGTCTTCCTCTTCTTCTCCTGTTTGGGCACCTTGGGAGACTGACCTTGGACCAGGGAACCATGGACTTTGCAGCCAAGCTGGCTGCTTTCACCCTGCACTGGAAAGCGCAGTCACAGCCTCTTGGGTCATGCCAGCGGGAGCTTGACGTGATCTTCTGGGGCGCTGCCCGCAGGAGAGGCTACAGGAGCCTTGATCTGGGAGACTATCTCCTGGTCTGTCACCTCAAGGACGAGGAGCTCCTGGGCTTTGTCAGCAACTGAACATCGGTGACCACTGCAGCAAAGATGGAGCTGAGAAAGAATCTGAGCGACACCACCAAGTCCTGGTTCCTGGGACAGGAAGCAACCTTAGTCATTTAGGTCACGCTCCAAATGTTTTATCATTTCAGTTGTTGAGAAATACCATGAAAACATAAAAAGGAAGTAGGTTTATCTTTAAGTAGCACTTCGGGGCATACCTATAGGAGATTCGCTCCTCTAGAACTTAATCATCCCAGTTTTGCTTTTCATACTTTTGGTGGCTTCTTGTAGGCTATGACTGTGTGTTTTGTTTCGTTTTGACTCTATCCCCAAGAAGGGTAACTCTCTGTAAGTTAAAATGGTAATGAATTCTTACAAAGATCTGACTTTCCACTGCAAAGTGATCAAAAGAACTATTTAAAACTGTTTTACTGCTTCTGCTAGTTTATCATCTCTGTTATTGCCGGAAACACTATTTTGCCATATATTTAGTTTGCTCTTTTCTCTCACTCCTAGCAATGTGATTTAGGATATTCCTCATGGCTTTTAGAAAATGGTTCTCATGACTGAGAAAAATGAGTGGGTGTCTTCCCTTGGTGGTTAGGAGAAGCACCTCCACCCATGTAGGCAAAACACAAATGGATTTAGTGTTATCAGAATGGTTTAGAGCCATGTCCAGATGTAAGACTGGCCCCTGCATTAGCTATCTATCGCTGCATAACAAATCACCCCACAATTTAGTGGCTTAAACCAACAAATATCTACGATCTCAGAGTTTCTGTGGGTCAGGAATTCAAGAGCAGCATAGCTGGCTGGTTGTGGCTCAGTTCTCTGTGAAGCTGGAGTTAAGAGGTTGGCCCCGGCTCTGTCATCTCAGAGTTTGTTGGGGCTGCAGGATCTGCTTCTAAGTTGGTTCACTCATCTGGCTGTTGGCAGGAGGTTTCAATTCTTTGACACCTGGCTCACTCTGTAGGGCTGCTTAATGTTCCCATTGCATGGCAGCTGGCTTTTCCCAGATAGCAATGAGGAAGCCACAATGTCTTTCATATCCTAATCATGGATGTCACATACAGTCATTTCTGTCATATTCCATTCATTAGAAGTGACTCACTAAGCACCGCCCACAAGGAAGGGAGGGAAAATCAGGCTCCACCTTTTGAAGGAGGAGAATCAAAGAAGGGGGGGTGGGGGAAGGGTATATTTAAAAACCACCACAGGCGGTAAATAGGTTAATTGAATCCAATCAAGACTTGAGGCAACCTGGGTGGTAGCTACACATTTCCCTCCCCTCCAGTAAGATGACAGAGAGGACAGAAGAGGTTAGAAAAGAACCAGGGTAGGCTTTACCTTGAACTGGGAACCTGAGGCAGAGAAAAAAAAAATCCCACCTGAAGGGTGTGGTCTTGGATCCAGCTGTCATAGCAACTATAAACAGGATTAAAAAGGGCTCTGTGGGTCGGCCTCAGGTGTAAGCATATTTTCCCTGGAGATTTGTAGGACCCATATCCTGCATCCTGTTCTCCAATTTCTAGCTGGCCACACATATTATCTAGGTACCATGACCACTGACCAACTTAATGTCTTTTTTAAAAAAAAAAATTATTTTAATTATTTATGCATGTAAGAGCTGGGGTGTAGGCCAGAGATGTGGGGGGGGGCAGGGGGGGAGAGGCTTCATCAGAGACAGAGAGGGGAGCAGAACAGGCAGATCCACTGAAATACACTGCTGAGGGGAGCAGAGAGGGAGACAGGAGGGGTCTGCTGAGAGCCAGGTGGGTTAGCTCCCTGACCGGGGATCAAACTCATGCTGCAGTGGCTGCCAACAGCCTCATAGTGCCTAGGCTTAACCCCTTGAGCCACCAGGGAGGCCCCCAACTTAGTCTTAATTCTCAAAAGAAGGCAAAATCACGACTGCCTTACAAATATAAAAAGAACACATATCAAAGGTTTTATTTAGCTCATTAATTAAATGGGGGATGGGTAAGGTGTTACAACTGGTTCAAAGGAGAATTTCAAGAACAGAGTGGTTTTATAGATCAGGAATATTGAAATAAATTTACAAATGGGTGCAGAACTGACTTTAGGGGGTGAGGTGGGGACAGTCCCTTCCCCAGATAGACATTACTTGCTTGTCTGTAAGTGAGAAGAATTCACAGTGCTATTAGTTATCTGCACTTTATAGAGTTGTAAAATAGCCTAGTCAAAGACAAAGGTTCATATCCCTGTAAGTACTGACAATCCCCCCTCCTCCCCAGGCTGCAGCATTCCATTGAAAGAATGGCCAGTAATCTCTTTTGCTTATTCCAAAGCCTTAAATTTTCCCTTACATCAAGTAACCTCAACTCCCTTGAGATGGCAAAACACATTCCTCAGAGGGTGTCCTTTTAACCTTGGGAAGGTTGAGAATTGAATATGAAGAGGATGAAATCAATCAAATATACTGGAGTGATATTTTTTTTTTTTTTTATAGAGGCATGTTTTATTTATCTATCTGTTTGTTTGTTTTGTTTACACAAGCACTGGGTACAGTCAGAAGCGCGGGAGGGTGAGAGAATTCACCAGAGCCAGAGCGGGGAGCAGAGCAGGCAGAAGGACCGAAGTACACTGCTGAGGGGAGCAGCGGGCGGCAGGAGAGGTCTGCGTGCCACGTGGGACCCTCGCCCCGTGGCCGGGGAGCAGCCGGGGATCGAACCGGCGCCGCAGAGGCCGCGGGCAGCTTCGCAACCCAGCGCTCAACCGCTGCGCCACCGGGGAGGCCCTGGAGTGATATTTTGGTGTTAAGTTCAGGAACAATCTATTGCATGTGATTTAATTTGGGGTAGTAAAGAATTCGACAGATTAGCCTTATGATTCCAACTGAAAATTGTATAATAGACTTTAAACTTGCGATTTTAAGGTAAAAGGAATTTGACTTGGAAAGCAGAGTTGCAATATTTAAAGCAACTGGATATTCACTATATTTATAAGTTGAATTTATTTGACTTACAAAAAATATTTAAGTCTTTGGGAAGGTTTTGCTCCTTAGAGTCATAAGTTTGTCTAGTCAAGCATTTGCATATTTAAAAAGAAAATAAAACAAATTCAACATACAATTGCAGTCTAAAATGTTTAGGAAAATTTAGATTTATAAGTGGATGGGACAGTTTAGGAGCATTTAGTCCATTCATCTTGGCTTGATTCTTTTTTTTGTCAGAATTGGACTTTAATCCTTTACTAGAATAAATGTTATCCTCAATTGAGTCTTAAAGCCCTCGCTGAAAATGATTTCTCTAATTTTGAATAAAAACAACAAGGTTAATAAACAGAAGTTAAAGACTTGTGAAAGTCTCAACTCTTAAATCTGGACAAATTATAAATAAATGAATAGACATTTAGAACCCAAAAGTGAATGGTCTTTTCTAAACATACACAAATTTACTGCAATATTGAATAATTTGATGGTTGGGGAGGAAAGAGATATAGAACATAAAAGTGGGGTAGGACATGAGGCAAAAGCTGAAGTCATTCTCTCTGACTCAAGGGTCCCTTGAATCTGGACTTTGTTGATGAATAGAGTAGGGTGAAATTGACACACTGCTAGTTTCCAGCCTCAGGCCTTAAGTAACTGGCATCTTCCATTTTCTCTCTCTTGGGTGATCACTCTTGGCACCCAGCCACCATGCTGTTAGGAAGCCCAAGCCTTCCTGTGGAGAGGCCCACATGGAGAAGAACCAGAGCCAACACCAACTTGCCAACCATGTGTGTCAGCCATCTTGGAAATGGCTCCTGGAGTCCCAGTTGAGCTGCCCTAGCTGACACAGCTTGGAGCAGAGGTGAGTTGTCGCTGCCAAGATCTACCCAGATTGCAGATTCTTGAGCAAAATAAATGATTATTGTTGTTTATACCCCTAAGCTTTGCGATGGCTTTACACAGTAATAGATAACCAAAACAAGATATAACTTACACATAGTAAGTGTACAAATCTTAAATGTACAGCCTGATGAATTTTTACATTTGTATGTAGCCATCAATCAGGTTAGATATAGAATATTTGCATGTCCCCAGAAGGTTCCCTAGTCAAACATCTTCTTGAAATACTACCCAGACACCTGAACTCTTAGCCCACAGCTCTGGGTAGCTCAGCATCAATTTTTTCTCAGAGACGTTTCCAAACTTAACTGGATTAGAAACATTCTCTCCAGGATCCATCTATGAAATAAAGGCAGGTTCAGAAAAGAGCGAAGGCTCAGGTGGAAGACAAGCAGATTTCAGTCTGTAACCTCTGGGAAGTAGGTCGGCAGGAAAATGAGCTGATCTGCTCTTAAACCTCCCATCAGCAGAGTCACCTCGTAAAATGCAAGCACACAGGGTGCTGTCATAATACCTGTGGTCAGGCCTGCGAGGCCTGATTTGGTATTTACAGTTCTAACCCTGTCCAAAGCAACTGAGGCCAAAAAGGCTTTGGGGAATCTTTAAGCTAGGCAGGGAGAGACCCCCTCCTCCCCCAAATCTGCCTCACCAACTGCTTTACTTCAAACTGTGGGCTGATTTCCATTAATCACACTTGGCCCTAATTACCCTGGAGCAGCCTTTCTTCCTGGGGCCTGGAGCAGGAATTTTAAGGGGCTCCTGACAAAGCAGGTCCCTGAAACCGAACAATAGTGGAGGCTCCAGGAAAAGACTGGGTGAGGAAGTGTCCAACCCCAAACCTCTCCTTCCTGGAGACCCAGGATCCAGGCCGGCTTATGATCTCCCCAGGTAGGAACCCGAGTTCCTCCACTAAATAGATTTTCCTTTTGTTGTCACATTAATTTGCAACTCATTAATAGTGACAGAAGTGAGGTACTGCACCGATGTTATTTGCATATTCATGAGTGACTTATTATTAAACAAATAAGATTTTCCTATCTTTGCGAGCACCCAAAGTAAGGCTGAACAGTACATTACACCGGCCCCGATGCTTTATTCTCTCTTTAATATGTTAATAGATGCAGTTGATTTCTTTAAGTAAATACGCATCCATAAAACAACACGTACTTTATAAAAAAGAAATCATTTAAATAATAATCCATTAGCAAAGTTGGCAACAATTTAAGAGGAACAACCCATTAATACCAACGCTTGAGAATCAATTTGCGAATTTTAACTCGGTTGGGTGGTGGGTTGCGGACGATCGAGGAGGAGGACCTGAGAGAGTGTGTGTGCGCTTAAAAAATATTTTAATGAGCTTCCGGGGGCCAGCACTGGAATCCTGCGCGTCCTTCGGGTGCCGGCTCCCAGAAGGTCGAAAACTGCTGGAGCCCAGACCCGGATCAGCGTTTTTCCGGCGTCCGCAGGGCACTGGAGTCGTGAGCTGAAAGCAGGCCCAAGCGCCACGTCGACCCGGCCGCTTTCACGTTGCCCATCGGCCCCCATTAGCACCGGGTTAAGCGGGGTGGGGGCGGGGCAGAGCCTGATCTCCGGGGAGACTCCCCCACCGCGCTGGGACTGGTGGTATCCCCTCCTATCCAGCCCCCGCCACCAGCACGGGTTTCGTCACAGCCGGTTTTTTCGTGCAGGGGTCAGGGCGGGCTCCCCCCGCGGCGGCGCAGAGCGCGGGGCCAACCGCGCACCCTTATCTCGGCGGAGTCAGACACTCGCCGCGCGGAATCTGTTGACATTTACTATTGTTCGCTGGAGTCCGGAGCACCGGGCGGGGGCGGGCGGGCCGAGGCAGGGAGAGGGAGGGCGGCAAGTGTGGGGCCTGCGGTCGGCCCGGGTGTGTTTGTGTGAGCTAGCGAAGGGGGGCGGGGTGCGCCGTCTCCACGGAAAATAAAAGTGGCTCGCGGGCCCGGAAGCTTCCAAGCCGGCTCACTGGCCCATGCCGGGAATTGAGGTGGCGGTGGTGGGTGCTCAGGAAGGAAGATGGGGCACCCGGTGTGCGGTCGGCGGGTGGAGGGGGTCGGCTCTATCCTCACGGCCCCCGGTGACCCGCAGGACACAAGTGCATTTGTGCCGAGCCGTGGCGGGGATTAAAGTGCCATACGGCTCTAGCGAGGGGGGCGAGGCGGGTGGAAAACAACTCCCCGCGCGCACAAAGCGCGCATTGTTCCAGCCACCTCCATTATGCCGCGCTGCAGCCAAGAGCCCGTTTCGCAACTGCCCGCCCGGCGCGCGCGCGCGCGCGCGCGCGCGCACACACACACACACACACACACACACGACACACACACCACACACACACACAGAGGAATTCGTCCCGGGGGTGTGTGCACTCCTCGGGGACTGGGAGAGGCCGATGAAGCAGGGGCTGGAGGAGGTGGGCTTACAGGCGTCTTTTTCAGCTCGACTGCTAGTCTATTCAGGGCTGGGCTTTTTAATGTCTTCTATCCCTAATCCCCCTCCCCGACACTTTTTCCTTTTCTCCAGCCCCTCGGGCCTGCCCTTGTGCACACCGGGAGCCTGAAGCTCCCCGGGAGAGGCTGCGAAGACAGAGGTTGGGGCTGGGGAAGGAGCGCTTTCAGCCGCTGTCACCCACGGATCTCAGTCCCTGGCTCGCAGCGCTTGCTTGCTCTGCTAGAGGACACGTGCTCGGGAGGAACGGGGGAAGCATCCCGCCTTCCAAGCAGAGGCTCCCCGAGCGCCCCCATCCCGGGCTCTCCAGGACTTCCCCGGGCCGGGAGCACGAGCTACGGAATCCCACGCCGCACCGCCGGGCCTGCCCACGGTGCGTGCCAAGTGGGCCAGCTCGGCCGCCTAAACCATCACCGCGCTGGTGCCCGGGCCCAGTTCTCTGCCCTCTCCGGCGCTCGTGTCACTGAATAGGCTCCCCGAGAAGACGTAAGGGCTTGACAGCCTTTTAGGAGTCTACCCGGTTCTCCCCGGGAGCGGAGTGGGGGTGGGGAATGGGGAGAGAAGGAGCGAACCCAGGCGCCCCCTCGCCTCCCGCCGCGCCCTCCCTGGTGGGCAGGTGGGGAGCGTAGGAGCCCGAGCGCGGCGAGCCAGTGCGGTCTGGTTTCCTTTACGTTTACAAGCTATAAATAAACTTCCCCTTGGGCGGATGCGCGCAGCGTCCAAGGGCGGCTTCCCGCCGAATCGGGCGGGTGGTTTACGATCCAGGCCGGGAGCTGGTCCTAGCGCGGCCTGAACCCAGGGTGGGGCCCTGGCTCCGGGAGAGCTCAGAGGTCGGCCAGAAGTGGCCGAGTGACCCTCCTCTCCCCCGCGGTGCCGGGGCGCCTCTGCGGTGAGGCCTGAGGGTGGGGCTGGGTGATTTATGAGCCGTCACCCCACCCCGCCCCTCCCGTTTCACTTGTTTTCCTTGCCTTCTCCGGCTCAAGCCCGGTTCCCAAAGCCTCGCCCCCCACTCTGCCCAGCGACGATTTGGCAATTTCGGGCTGTTGGAGCGCCAACACCGGCCCCGGCAGGGCGCGTGTCCACAGGGCGTGGGTGAGGCCCTCGACGCATTAACTCCCGCGTCCCTGGCCCGGCCCGAGAGCCTGTCGGCCGAGCGCGACGACGCTGGGAGGTCCGGGGCGGCCTTGGCTAGCGAAGTGGGGAGGAAGGACTCCGGAAACCGCGGGCCTGCCGGGTGGATCACTGACCCTCAAGGTCACCGGGCACGGGGAAACCACCGGACCACGCCAGAGCAGAGGCCCCCGCTCTCGTCGGAACTCTGCTGGGGGGCGAGCAGCTCGCCAAGCACGCCCAGAGGACGCGATAACGTACGTGGCATGGAGGCCACCACGAGTCCTGCCACTGCTCTGCATCAAAGGGACGCCGTTTCCCTTGGCCTTGGCGCCCACGCCGCGAGGGCTGGGGTTGGGCTTCCTCGAGTCTCCAGCACACGTGTGGGGGGGCATGGGGGTGTATGGGGACCATAAAAAGAGTGGGTGACTCTGGCAGCGTCTACGTTCTTTTCCGCTAAGACTTAGGAGGCCGCGGAGGAAAAGCGGCTAGCCGAGTGGGCGAGAGCCCGACTTGGGAACGCGGAGGGGGCTCCTTCCTCCCGCGAGGCTCAGTACCTCCCCTCTGCTCTCCGCGCGGCGCGGGCCTCTGCTCCGCAGCGCCCCAGGCTCCATCCTCTGCCGCATGTTTGTTTAACCCTCAACCCCGCGGCGGCAGCTGCGGATAGAGGGAATCTTGGCGGCGCTAATCCTGGGGCTGGACCCCAAACTCGAACGCTGAGAGCTCCCCTCTCCTTTCTGAACCTCGAGGCCGAAGGTCTCAGTGGGCCAGAGCTTCAGCTACCTAAGAGAGTCTGGCGGCCTACAGGGTCGACAGAAGGGGACCCTTGGCAAGATCCCCATTGTTCCCCGGGAGCTGGGAAGCTGACTCACGCTCTGAGCACAGCGATGCCGAGTGTTTTCTCGGCAGCCTTTACCCGAGTGCTTTATTTAGACAGGCTTTATTTACAGTACACATGTTTTCGGCTCGTTATTCTGGAGGCGGGAATGGAAACTGGGCAGAGCAGGAGTTCTCCCCATGAGCCTCACGTTTGGAGGGGGCTGAGTCTCCGCACAGGCAAGGATCCCCCTCCTGCTAGCTTTGTTCCCTAATGAGATCATGTGGAAGAAACCTGAACGGGTGGAAGTGGAGGGCGCTGGGGGGGGGGTAGGGAATTGGTGCACACAGGGGCTCACCCTTTCCCATAGTACCCACTTTTCAAGAGGCATAGTGCCCCAGGAAGGTGAGACAGGCCAAGGGGATGACAAGGGCTGCAGGTCATACAGACAACAGCGGCTTACTGAGAAAAGCGTCTTTAACTCCATGCCCCAGGCTTCTTCATTAGCCATTTGGACCTCTCTCATTACCCTGGTCCTGGGCTCTCTGGATTCCGTGAAGGGCCTTGTAGCCACTCCTGAGTGGAGGGTACAGGCGGCCAGGTGGGTGGAAGGCCTCTGGTTGCCAGCTTGCAGTCAAGCCTGCATTTTGGCAGCTGCTCAGTAAGTGGGGTGGTCCGGTTAGGGACTGCAGGAAATTGTCTGAGCTAGATTAAATATTTTACAAAACCTTTGGGGGGCCTACGGTTGAGCTGAAGCTGGCAATGTTAAACCAAACAAAAGTTAGTGAGTTCTCTCTCCTGACTTTTTAGGTACAGTTCAGAGAAAACTGGGGGTAATGCTCTTTGGAGGAAGCAAGTTTAATGGCCTTTCCTCTCTTCTGTCCACATGGAGATGGTATAGTCCTCCCCCTCTGCTGCTTGCAGAGCGCAGCAGTCTCTCAGGATTGGGCAGGCAGAAAGACCTCTCTGGGGTCCCTCTCTGAGGGGCCAAAGCTGGCTTGATCTCCTATAGCCAGTGAAGTCTAAGTTTAGCCTGTTTGGTTGTTTCTGTCTCTGTTGGTGTGAGCACAGCCCATCCCTGGGCTTGCATCGGACCTGAGGCCTCCCCTCCAAGCCTTCCCCTATGGCAGCAACTTGGGGAGTAAGATACCCAGGCCCAACAGTCTTAGCCTGCTTTTCCCTCCTCTTGGGTCTGGCTGCAAATCCTAAACTCCTTTCTGGGGTTTGTCTGCAGTGTTGCTCTTTATGAGCCTATACCCCTTGGTTCCTGTCCCCTTCTGGGACGGTGCTTCTCCCCTACACGAATACCCCCCCCCCCCAATCCAAGCTGCAGGGTGTGAGATCTGTAGGCCAGAACTGAACTGTGGTCCTTTGAGAGAAGGAGATGGCTTGACCTTTGCAGGAAGAAAAGGCAGATTCACAGCTCGCAGCGCTGCAGGGAGACCCAAGGGCTGCATAGGGAGCCGCAGGCGTTGCCACAGCCCTAGCAGCTCTGACGGGGTTGTAAGAGGAAACCAGCTCTGGGAGCAGAGAGCTTCTGTGCGGTGTGTGTGCCCTGGCGAGATGCACAGGCAGCTCAGCAGTGACAGGAACGGGGTGTGTGTGTGTGTGTGTGTGTAGCCCGAGGCTGCTGCCAGTGTAGTGCAATCAGGGTGCACTGAGGCTGGGGGCCAAGGTTGGGGCTGCAGTGGAGACTGGGGCTCTGGAGGAGACAATCGCTACAGGAAGCTGCTCTTAAGAGGCCCAGACACCTGGAGACTGGCTCATCACATTGGGGGCAGGTGCTCCAAGTACAGCCCAGGAAGGGGTAGAATTGCCAAAAAAGCAATAGCCTGGTTGGGTTTTTAAACATTAATATTTGGGGTGGCATCTTTGAGACAGCACCTTCCCAGGGAAATACAGCATGCGATTTACTCAAAGGTCCAGGAACACCCCAGGCACAACAATCTCAGAGCCAGCAGTCCAGGGCCACCTGGGGGTGGGGAGTGGGGGTCTCGTAGGGAGGAACTGTTGAGTACAGCCCACTCCGGTCCCTTCCCAGCTCTGGGGGAGGCAGGGATGAGCTGTGCCCACTGTCACCGATGCCCCTGCCCTTTGACGCTGAGGTGGGGAAGGGGCTGCCTTAGTTTCGCTGCTGGAAACTATTGTTTGAGTCTGCACTCAGCGCTTCTCCAGCCGGGCTAATTCACCACGTGTCCAATTTTCGTGTCTGAAAAAAAAAAAAAAGCAACAGCATAGAAACAAAACCATATGACAGGACTGGGCTGCAAACCTTGAAGAATCGAGAGGGTGGGGGAGGTGGCGGCTGGGAAGGGGGAAGGTAGATGTGTGTGTGTGTGGGAGGGGTGAGTGGGGGGCACGCACAACTCAAAGTTTCGGCTCCTTCCTACACGATCTCACCTCCCGGCGTGCTCATCTGATGCCGTTCCAACTCCCTCAAACGATTCCGCAGCCCCAGCGCTCGCGGGAGTGTGGAATTACACTTGGAAGGCGAGGCGCTGCGGTGAGAGGCGACGCGCAGAGCCGGGGAGTGCGGAAGCACAGGCCCCCAGCGGCCAGACGCCCCAGCCCACTGGGGTCAGCGGGCCGCCCCGCCACGGCTCGGACTCTTGGGGCTCTGAGTCGCGAGTCCAGTCACGGCACACCCTCTACTGGCTGGGGAGCTGGGGGCAGAGTGGGACTGGGCTTCTTCCGCCTACCTCTCTCGGGCGATGCACCCCCCCCCCCAGATCCATTTCCTTAAAAAAAAAAAGCCTAAAAGCTAAAGGACAAACATTTAGCTACAGTTCAGCCTCCCCCCACCCCAACTCCGTGCCCTCTCAGAGTTCTCCAAACCCGCGAGGGCGCTTTAGGCCCGCCCCATACCCCCCCCCCCCCCCCCCCGCCAGCGCTTCCGCCCGTGCACGAGCCAGTGGCGGTCACTTCTGCGACTCTTTGGAGACCGACTGCCCGGAGCTTTGTTCTCCCGGGGCTTCCCCTCCCCCTCTAACACATCCCCATCACCACACTTTATCTGCCCCCCTTCCACGTCCGCGCACACAAACAACCCGGGTTCATAATCTTATTAGCATAGGCCGGGGTCTGGGTGACAGGGAGGCTCTGCGCACCGCGGCGCTGAACTCGACTTCGCAGCGACCTGGAGTTTCCACCAGTCGTGTGCCCTGGGCGGGGGCGGAGATGTTGGGGGTGGGGTGGGGAGACAGTGTTGGTTTGGGGGCTGGATGGGGTCCGCCGGGAAGAGTAGGCCCGCCCGGGGCAGCCGGAGCAGCGGGAGGAAGGCCCCTCCCAGCGCCCAGTTGCCGTGGTCCCCGGAGCAGATGGCAACTTTGTCTCCTGGTGTGCGCGCAGCGACTTTCAACACATTCAAAAGGCTGCGCTCAGCCTGTCGGGGAAGCCTCGCTGACATTCAGAACCGATTAAAGACCCGAGACGGTGCCAGGCGCAGTGGAGAGTTATGAATTAATCATGGGGGTTACCGATATCTGAGGCTCCCCAGGGCAGCCCCTCTATTATTAAGCAGCCCCCCCTGCCCACTCCTGACCCCCCCACCCCCACCACAAAGGGGTAGGCTCGGCGTCTTTTGCACTGCCCCAATTAACAGCTACCGGGTAATGTGAAAAGTGTTTGCCCTGCCACCCTCGGTGCAGGCTCAGGCCGCGCCGCTGGGCCTGCCAGACGCGCGCCGGGCAGCTCAGCCTCCGGGACAGGCCCCGGGTGAACGCGGCGCTCCTGCTCCGGGTTGGGGGGGGGGGTGGAGTGAGACATATTCTCCGTCTGTGTCTCATGCCCAGCTCCCTTTACCTCCGCAGTGAGGAAGCCCCGGCTAGTGGGTGACCCTGGAGACCACCCACCGCCTTCACCTCCGCAGTGAGGAAGCCCCGGCTAGTGGGTGACCCTAGAGACCACCCACCGCCTGAATACAGGTCCCCGTCCTCTGGAGCAGCCGCGGGCTCTCCCGGCTTTGCGTTGTGACCCTGGCGCTGGTCCAGAGAAGGAAAATCGAGGTTCGGGTGTGCGGTGAAATCCTGCACAGCCCCTGGGCCTCCTAGGATGCTCACTGGCTGAACTCCTCATGCCCCAAGCACACCAGTCACCCTAAATGACCTGCACCCCTGGGAACCCAAGCAACATCTCGACCACCGGACCCCCTGTCTGCATATTGTTAAACCACGCACACCCTCCTAATCTTCCCTATTTATTTCCCGGGCCTGCCTGGCCACAGATTTCTGCAAGACAGAGCAGTCTTCGGGTTCCTCCTGCTTCCAGAGGGGCCATAAAAAACAGATGGTCTCATTAGGAACAATTTATGCATATATATTTCGAAGAGTTCAGCAGAGCCGGGGTAGGTTTGCAGCCCCTGCGTCAGGCAGGAGCAAAATATCACCACTTGCAAATGTTTCCAGTTTGCAAAATAATGGCCTATCCAAAGTAGCTAAGCAACGAATTACTCAAACACTAGAAGGTTAGATGCCAATATTATCACATTCCTCGTGTTCCTTAAACCGTCCTCCTCCGCGGACACTGGATTTCGGAGGGAAGCTCGCGGGCCTCGCACCCCCACGCCCGCGGCTTCCTTTC